TGAAGGTCATCAGCAAACATAGTTCCTTTGGAATGAATAAGAATATCAGGGATGTCATTCACAAACAAAATGAAGAGAAGAGGAGCACCATGGGACCCCTGATGAACCCCTGGTATAACCTTCAATTTCGAAGACAGATGTGCATTTATTTTTACAGATTGAGTCCTACCCTTAAGGAAGCTCTCCAACCATCAAGTGTTTTCTAAAAGACCATAAGCTGACAGCTTTGCCAATAGAATGTCGAAGGCTTTGGAAAAGTCTGTATAGATTGCATCCACCTGGTGACCCTTTTCCAAGCCCGCCAATAGATCAACTTTATAAGACACCAAATTCTCCACAGTTGATCTACTCTTAGTAAACCCAAATTGACCGCATACTTATAAGCCCACGGCAATACCAGTTAAGTTGATCATATATCAAGCTATCAAAGAGTTTCGGAATTGATGACTGGGTACATACACCTCTGTAATTGCTAATATCTTCAACATCTCCTGACTTAAAAATTGGATTAATATAACTGTGCTTCCAAGTGTCAGTAAAAACACATGTTTGGATGGACATGATAAAAATAAGATGTAAATACTTCGTCAAGAGAAATTTTGTTTAGTAGTATATCTCCTGTCTTCTCAAATACAAAAGAGGGTGAATGATGTACAGAACTATCATATACACCACAAAAGCGCTTTGCAAACAAATTACTTATTGTCTTCCCATCTTGCACTCAAACTCCCTCTAAGTGCACAATAAATATCAAATATATTGTGCACAATAAACATAAAGCACCCAAAAAAAGTTTGCACTTGTGTTTGGGTTTGTACAAAATAAAAACTAATAGTACAGTCAGTGTATGAAAAAAAAAAAGAAAAAACCCGTTAATACTGTATAATTTGGTGAATTATTATGGTAATGGCAGGAAAAATATCCAGCCAATTAGAACTGAAGTAAAAGTATGGATGTTAGTGTAAGTAAAATATTATTGATTTTGATAATGATTTTTCAGATCTACAATTTCGTGGATGGAGTACCTTGGTTGTTGTAAAATCCATTTTTTTAGTTGTTTTTTAAATGATTTATTTGATTTAATTACTTTTAATGACTCTGGTATGAAGTTATAGAATTTTGGTCCCAAGAAAAACAGAGATCGTTGTGTAATGGTTTTTGATGTTTGTGGAATACACATTGAATTTTGATTGAATCTTGTTGGGTAGTTATGAATGGTACGATTAAAGTATTTTGAATATTTGAAATAATGTATTAGACCACAATAAAAATAAATTTGTCTGCAATCTAATAGCTGAGCCTCCACATATAGAAAATCACTTGAATAAGTAATCTCCCTATGGAGGATCAATTTTAGAATTAATTTTTGGATGACCTCAACCTTTTTGTAATTATTCTTCATAACTCCCCCCCAAGCCAAAATTCCGTAAAGTAATAGAGGATAAACAAGAGCATAATATAGATTATATAGATATTTCTTATCTAGAATATCTCTGAAGTACCTGAATTTTGGAATAATACATCTCAGTCTCTTCACAAGGTACTCTGTATGGGTATCCCATTTTAAGTGTTTGTCCAAAATCACGCCTAAGTATTTTATTTTATCGGCTGACTGAATCTCTTTGAGACCACTGCTTGTATGAATTTCAAGTTTTTTAAATTGCGGTGAGAGCCTGTCGTTACAAGAAAATGCTATATAGTGTGTTTTGTTGTAATTAATTGTCAAAGTTCTTTCCGAAAAGAAATTTATAAATGTTTTGAAATCATGTTCGATTGTGGTTTTTAGTGTATGCCACTGGTTGCTTTCATAGAGAATAGCTGTATCATCCGCAAAACCGATAACTTTACCTGTACTATTTATTTTGAACAAATCGTTGATAAATAGATTAAATAAAATGGGTCCTAATACTGAGCCTTGAGGTACACCGTGTGATATAATATGGGGTTCACTGAATGTGTTATTAATTTTGACGCACTGTGTTCGATTTGACAAATAATTTTCTATAAGTTTGTATGTTATTCCCCGGAAACCTAAGTTTTCTAAAGTTTTTAAAAGCGATTCATGAATAATAGAGTCGAATGCCTTTGCCAAGTCAACAAAAACACAAGCAGTTGGTTTGCCAATATCGAGATTCGTGTATATTTTATTTGTTAATTTTACAATAGCATCTTGAGCAGATTTGCCTTCTTGAAAACCATATTGCTCTTCCGCTATTAAGTTATATTTTTTTGCAAATTCGGTGAATCGTTTTTTTAACACTTTTTCAAATATTTTAGAAAATATTGTTAAGATGGAAATTGGTCGATAGTTGATGGGTTTTTCTCTTTCTCCAGATTTAAATAATGGCTTTACCATAGCGTGTTTTAAACATGAAGGGAATATTCCTTTATCCATACAAGAATTTATCAAATATGATAGTATGCCGCAGATGTTGCAATTTATTCTTTTGAGAGTATACGCTGTTATATTATCTAGACCTGGAGATTTTCTTAATTTCAACTCATTGATTATTGTCTTTATTTCATGCGTATCGGTCGGTTCCAGATATAATGAGTTATATAATCTGGTCTTACTATAATTTAATTTTTCCGCGTTTTTTATGCTTTCTGACAACCTTTTCCCGATTTTTGAAAAATATTCACAAAATTCATTTGCTATATCTACATCATTACTCACTAGTTCACCATTTTCTTTTTTAATTGTACTAATTTTGTTGTTTTGTTTTTTGCCTTGTATTTTATTGATAAATTGCCACATTTTGGACGAACAATTTTGTAGATTATCAAACTCGTCTTGGAGATATTTAATTTTAGCCTCTTTAATTATTTTTGTCAGTCTGTTTCGATATAATTTAAATTCATTCAAAAGTTTAACATCATAAGGGTATTTTTTGGTTTCCTTATATAATTCTATTTTTTTGTTGATAGAGGTAATAATCCCTTTTGATATCCATGCTTGTCTTTTTATTTGTGTTCGTGGAATCTTTACTGTTTTGGTGCATTCAGCAATATGGCCTTCAATGCTAGATATAAAAAGGACAAATGCATTTTCAATATTAGGTTCGTTATATACTACAATCCAATTTTCATTGAGTAAGTTGTTATTTAGTTTTTCATAATCAATGTAAATTTTTGTATTATTCACTGTCTTTTCAATTTTGGTTGATGTACTTTCAAGATCGATTTTGAGCAAAGTAGGAAAATGATCAGAAATATTGTATTTTAGAATTGCTGAATATATTTTGTCAAGTTCTAAACGTGAATTTATAAACATATGATCTATACAACTCCCACTGTTTCCTTCTACTCTTGTCATTTCGTTAATGGCTGACAGGTAACCATGTTCAGCCATTATATTTAAATAATCTTGAATATTTTGATTGTTATGATCTAATATGTTAATGTTAAGGTCTCCAATGAATAAGTTGATATCAAATTTTCTACTGTTTTCTAGATAATATTGTAATTGACCGTTAAATGTTGTTACAGATATACAGGGTGATTTGTACACACCAATGATCTGTATCCACTTATTATTCTTTTGAAGAATAACTCGTAAAAGTTTTGTTTGAGTTATATTAATAATTTCATACCCACTGTTCAAATTTTGTCTTACATAAATCAGAACCCCGTCATTTTTATTAAAACTACCATCGTTATAATATAAATCATAATTGGGAATTTCAATCAAACTTGTATCATATACTTTAAATGTTTCAGTTAGCACTATAACATCAAATTTAAAATCTAGTATATCCAACAAGGCATGAAGTTCATTCATATTTCTATGAATGCTCCTTATGTTCGTGTGAAAGATGTTCAATCCTGAATCAATATTATTAGAAAAACGTAACTTTGTTGTAGGTAAATCGTCTAAAATATTTGTTTTAATTATTTCAGGTCCAAATTCTGTAATGTATCTACTCATAAATATTCTAAGTCCTTAGCAATTTAGAATAAAATTCTTGATATATGTCTTTGTTGGAAAAATTTAAATACAGCACAACATTTATCTGTAGGGGAGTGATGTGTATTATAGTTTTTATTATATTTTTTGTTTGAATATACACAGTTGCAACAAATGGGATTAGTAGATTTGTTGCATGAAGTATCATCATGTTCTTCTCCACATTTGAAGCATACTTTATGACTATTACATTTCTTACCAGAGTGATTAAACTTGAAGCAATTTGTACATTGAGTTACCTCATTATTAGGATAAACTGATAAATTTTGAAAACCAATTAAAATTTTCCCTCCATTATTATCAAATATTTGTCTGAATAGTTTACCTGACACCTCTGCGTAAACTATATTCATCTTTTTTTGAGGAAGGAATCTAACATAGGTGATTTTTAAATTTTCTTTTGTTATAAAGTGGTTTTGTCGCATAATATCTTCTTCTATTTCACGTTCTTGAAGTTTTTCTTCAGAGTGGTAGCCAACAATCTTTATTTTAGGATTAAACATTTTCGGTTCGGATATTGTATATGTTGATGGCAGATTCTTCCCAATTTCTTCTTTTAGCTTCTTATGGTAGCGATCTTCTACATATAATTCAATACCACCATTTTTACAGTTCTTAACAGTTTCAATTTTGATGTTTATTTTTGATAAATTCAAATTTCTGCTCAGCTCGTTCTTAGTTCTGTAGTTAGACTGTTGTTGTTCAGGGGTAATGATAAGACTTTTAAGTGTCCTTTCCTTACTCTTTGATGGTGAATTTATAACTGCTTGGGCATATGTGGAATTTTTTGTTGTTGTTTCCTCTAACTTCTCAATTCTCCTAAGGAGTGTCTCAAGTGGTGTTACTATACAGTCTCTATCGACTATGTTTGAAGAAATAAGATCATACTGTTCTTGAAATCTTCTGTTTTCGTTTGATAGGTGGTATATTAATTTTTCTTTTTCCAAAAGTAATGCTTGACAATTTTCTAAATCCTTCGTTTTTTCTAATAACTCCTGCTGTAATAATTTATTCTGTTTTTTCAAGTACTCACTTGTTTCTTGCGTTGACATAATAGAATCACAGCTAATGTTTACAGTTTCATCTTCATCCTTTTTCTTTCTCCGAGTCATTGCACACTCAGTATTTAGAATTTTGTATCACTGATGTGGCTTGTCAAATTGTGTCAAAGTTGTATATTAATACAAATAGCCGAAAGTGGTTTACCTCTTGAAAATTGTCTGATCCCCAATTGTGGATATCCAAATGTAGTCTAGGAACAAATTCAAGAGCAGCGACAAATTATTTGATTCGTAGTTTCGGCAATATGGTGATGGAACTGTGGAAAAGGTAGATAATAAGTGTATGTAGGTATCTAGTGCATACTATTAGGTAAGCTACTTGAATTTCTTAAACTCTTTACGTATCCCCAATAGCGCCGTAGATCAGCTACCAAAGATTCCTGAACTCGATCAATATGAATTGCATGACATCGCTTATGTTCTTCTTTACATAAAGAACGTAACTCTGAGAAAGTCACATAGTCCTCATATTGGTTTGTTTCTATAAAAATCTTATGGATAATCTTTTTTCGACAGACTAGGGCTGAACCATTTAGAGTAACAGGAATTTTTTATCCGCTTTTGAGACACAAACCAATCCATGCAATTTTGTAAGACTCCATAAAACATTTCAACTGCCACATTCACATCTACATCACCAAATAATGCATTTGTAAAGTCGTAAAAGACCTCATCAAAATCAGATTGACTACACTTTGCTAAAATTGTAAAGGCATAGGCTCTGTGGTTTACACTCTCTGGCAGTAAAATATCATAAGCTGGTAACACATTGATTCAAAACAAACTAGAAAACAATACGTGCCGGGGAATTCTCAGGGCAATGGACAAAATTATCAAGTTGCCTCCGGAAGATTATAATCACCAAAGATGGCCATGTCAGTTCTTGGACAAATTTCAGAAATTTCAAGAAGAGATAAACACTGGATGTCATATTTAACTGATGAAGAATTTGGTGGAACATAGACGGCTCCAAAAATGATGGTTTTCTTGCAAAATTTCACTTCGACAAATAGCTGTTAGACGTCTTCGGAGAACAACTGCAGTTTACGGGACTTGAGAACACAAGACACAGCAATAATCACTCCACCACCACGCCCTTTATCATTAGTGGAAGCACTACGGTTCATTCTGAAGATATTGTATTCTTGAAAATTAAGTTCACTGGTTGAGAAGGATTCATTCAGCCAAGTCTCTAGAAGGATGATGACCGATTAATCACAGAGATTTACTGCCTCCTTAAGAGTATCAATTTTTGTACGAATTCCACCGACGTTCTGACAATTTGGTCCTTGTAGGGAATGCCATTGCGATATCTAATGCCAATATTTTCCTCACCTCTTTCCTCCCTTATTTTTAAGTCACTAAGAAGATTGTTTAAATTTGCCCTCTGTAGTTCAGTAAGATCTTGCTTTATTGTGACATGCGTGCCGATTAATTTGTTCTTATTACGAAGGCATTTCAATGCAAAGGACTGATCATTGAATATAACCTTAACAGGTCTTGGTTTGTTGTTGGGTTTCCCAAGTCTAATAACCTTGATGGGTGCGACCAAATCAACTTCAAAGACACTTAAAATATCAGCAACACAAGACTTATGATGATCGATACGCTCTAATGTCACAGCAGATTGGCTTTCATCCATGTTGTAAATAATGATGTTTTTGGCACGAGCACTTCTATCTTGCATTTCGCTGTATAAAGGTCAATGTTATCGGATGTTTCCATTAATCTTTGGACAGCCTCAGCATGAGAATTGGCCATTTAATCGACGAGAATGTTATCCTGGACAATATTACGTAGCTCAGCTATTTCCCTCTCCAAATTAACTATTTTGTCTTCCTTTTCACGTTGGCACAACTTCAACTCATCTAAAGCATCTTGAAATTCTTTCTTTTGCTCCAACAAAAGATTGAAAACTTGCGAAATTGCCGATAAAACGTCTTTATTAGTAGCATTAAGTTTTTATAGCAAGTTTTCGATTTGATTGTTAAACACAATGTCAGATTTTGCACAGTCGGAAGAAGTCTGTGAATTCATGGGAAGTCTACTAACTTCAACATTTTTACATGAATTACATTGCCAGTCATGTTGGCCCAGTTTGTTATGAAGAGCTGTAATTTTGGTGTATTCGGCACTAGGTATACCTGAGCAAGCTTTATGGAACCATGAACAACAAACAGAACATTCCACAGAATGCTGATTTGTTTTTGGAAGTGCGATCACATAAAAAACAAAGATCTTCCTTGATCGACGACATTTCCTCAGTTCAAGAAAAGTACCTAATTATCAGCAATAAGCAAAGCTAATTTACGACGATACACAACACTTGATCAACGAGTCGATATGACTTCCTTAAGACGGGCAGTTTTTTCCTTCTTCACCATAACCAGGCGTATCGGGCCCCTAATTTAATTTATAGTCCACGAGTCCAAATATAGGGGACCGATAGGGTGAGCTGCATGTTATGACAGCGTTGTCAAGATTTCCTTCGAGGTAGATTTTATGGGGAGGAAATACACGTGAAAATTTGTGGTCACTTGCAGGATTATCCCTATAACTTCACTTATATAGCACCTACAGCCACAATTAATGGTACGGCACATTCACCAACACTATAAAAGTAACTTCTAACAAAATATGATATTAAGCCACAATTAATCTCGTAATATCGATTAAAATTAGCAAGAACATACAACGCGTGATGCGATGTTGCTACAGATATTCTAGATTTAATTACCGTGCGAAAAACCCTGTTTCTTTAGAAATACTTTTGTGCTTAACACGTGTTTAGAGCAAATCTTCCTGGCTTATAGCAACCGGGAGCTAATGATACTGCTGGCGCGCTCTACTGGACCGTGGCACGTCTACTCCACCTCGCATTCTACCTTGCCGACTGGTCGACGAATATGTGCAGGCACCATTTTATAGTATTGCATCAGCATACAGCTTAGCATTTAGAAATAAAGGCCCCGTAAAACGAAGCATGAAAAGCTATTCTCTTCGCAAAGTCTCTGTAGGAATGCCGGAATGGAGTAAGTATATCAATATCATTTTTCGAATCTATGACTTTATGACTTCTTCACCAAATTGATGTGACAGTCACTGAACAGCTGTTCTAAATATAATAAAGACTTTTTCATGTGCTTTTGCTAAACGGAAGATGCATACTGAAATAACTTTATTATAAATATAAATAGGAGGCCTAGTGTAGTGACATTGTTATTTTCAATATAATGCTCGGTAATCTAGGAGTGGTATATTTGACTCATGGTTCTAGCAGGGTTTAAAGTTAAACCTTCTCTGTGATTGTCGATTTTTGTCAAGCACTGTTGTTAAAAAAGCGTAAGTGATAACGATTCTATTATTTTTATTATAAAAAAATGTAGGGTGTCCGGGGCAATACCTCAATTTCACCCAAATGCTAGTCTGTAATTTTGGTGATGACAGCCATTGCTATAGGTGGCAGATGGTCTCGTACTGTCGAACGTGGAAGTACCAACCGGCTGGACCAGAATGCACGCGTGTTCCCTCGCTAGAGTCTGTGTGACGTCCTCACCTTTCCCCTGTATCTCCTCTATAGCCCCACGGTAGCCGAAGTTGTTTAGGCCTCAGGGCTTCGAGGTGGCTCAACTATACGCATATAGCTAATAAAGAAAGATGCAAACAATCTCTAGACTGCCACAAATACGTTTAATCCCATTTCGAAGACTGGTTGTTCTTGGCATAATTTTGATGTTTAATAGTGAAATTACACCTAATGCTTGCCAACTAGTAGTAGTATTAGTTATGGAAAGGTGAACCCTTGCACATTTAACTCCTTTGCTGACCCCGTTAGTACCAATACAATACTCCACACGATTATCTGTTAGAATTGTTGTCGAGCCTCTCTGTTCTCTTAATGTAGGCCAGGAAGTTTGACCCTTCGCTGAATACACCTCCTCACTATCAAACATCATGACTTCGAACATATCAGCCCATAGGCTGAATAGGGTTGCCAAAATTCTGATAGTCTATGATGAGAATGATATCACGCTATGATTAGATGCTCATCTCAATGCCGTTTTTAATAAGTTCATATCTTCAAGTTTTAGTAATTTTGGTGTATACGGTACAAAGTTTTGTGTCAATCTCAAGGTCTTTCCCGTAAGTATAAAACTTATGCAACCATTATTATAACAGTAAGACTCACATCTACAGACCATGGATTTAGAACCCAACATATTTATTTTTAAAGAAATCTCGTTTGGTGGTATCTTAATGTGCAGAAATATGAATACTATCAACTATAGTTCTATCTTTATGGTTTGTCATTTCGTATGCGTTGCTTGAGTAAGTCATTAGTGATCTGAACAAATATCAGTATCGAGATAGATATAAAAATCAGAATCAAGGTTTAGGCTTATTAGCCAATAAAATTTCTCAACAGTGGTGTGTGGTCTGCAGCGTTAAATTAGGTGATTTGAATTGGTTGATATCAAAATTATGACCAATGCCACGACATTTTTGACGAGCTTTTTAGAGTTCCTTCATCTTATTTTTTCGTTTCCTCGTCATGTTATCCTTAATATATTTTAGGAGAAATTTAGGCATTCTACCACTGGCACTGTTTTGAATAAGTGAGTTATTTCATAATATTTATCTCAAATTGATTATGAGGCAATAGCTAAATAACCTAATTATCAGTGAATCAATAGATACGAAAAGATCTAGCAAAATCAAGATTCCAAACCATAACAGGAGCTATATGGCTTTTGATTTCTCGATGAAAAAGGGAGTTACATACTTCACCCTGATCATGCTGTCATATATTTCACACAAGTCACCACAAAAAGACTGATCAACAACAATAAAATAATGAGATCTCAAAAATGCGATGAAGCTTTTTCGTCATGACTTTGTTGTATCTCTATTATATCATATATATTCTTATGTAATATCTTCTATCTATCTATCTCTAATAAGTTTTGTATATTTGCTCTATGTTTTTTGCCAGATGTACACCAATGTATCTAAATGGCCAATAAAGAAAGAAAGTCCGCATTCATATGTCTTAAAAGGGCTGAACAACAAGAATTGTTGGCTGGTTACTATGTAGGATTTATTCGTTTTTCTGAAAAAAAGTTTTTTTTATCATCATTGTTATTCATGTTTTGAAATCAGGCTATTTTATGGAGGTTTATTTTCCAGAAATACTAATGTGATTAATGTTTGAATGCAGACGTCGTCGTTGAACAATTAGCAAAGATCGCATATATGCTAATGCACTAATTTGCATTAATAAAAACTGGCCAGAAACTTGATATTCGCCATTAACTCGAAATAGTTTTTGGTTTAGCATTCAATG